AAAAAAAAAAAAAAAAAAGATCCTGACAAGCCCATTCCAGTGTTGAGACCTGAAAACAGGAGAGGCTGAACAGCGAGAACACCCCTGCCCCCTCTTCACTGCTCGGGGGCTTCTGAGAAACACGTGTTGCCGGGCTGTGCTTTGCACAGTGATTACAACCCAAATAGAGCATTCACTCCATGAAAACGTGATTTCTTAAAACTCTTAATACCCAATGCCTTTTGGACTTACTCCAAAGTCGTAAAAATTTAGCCTTGCCAGGCCTGACCTGTCTTGAAGGAACTTCGTTACACGGAACTCAGAATCGGAAAGCTCATTACCCACCAAGGGGCCCTCCACGCACGTCGAGGTCCGTCGCCACACACCTCGCAAAGCACCCCCACAGGGCACCAACCCTACTCTGGGGCCCGCGTCTCAGGGGGTACCCCAGTGTCTACCGGACTTTTTTTTGAGAGTCTTACTACGTCGCCCTCCGTAGAGTGCCGTGGCGCCACAGCTCACAGCAACCTCCAGCCCTTGGGCTGAGGCGATTCTCTTGCCTCAGCCTCCCAAGTAGCTGGGACTACAGGCGCCTGCCACAACGCCCAGCTACTTGTTGTTGTTGTTGTCACTGTTGTTTAGTTGGCCCAGGCCGGGTACGATCCCACGAGCCCCGATGCATGTGGCCGACGCTCTAAGTTGCGGGCGCCGAGCCGTGTCTGCCGGGCTTTGGTGTCAGGGGTGCGCGATCCCCAGGACTCCCAGTATCTGGAATGTATTGTGGTCTTTGGGGGCCTCGGTCACGAGGGGACCCAGACCTGTGAGGTGGACCCTGGCCTCTAGATGTCCCCAGCCTCCAGAGGACCCTGGTCTTTGGGATGGACCCTGGTCTCTGAGGCCCGGTTCTCTGGAGGCCTGATCCCCCCAAGGCCGCAGAGGAGGTGGGACGGGCGGGCAGAGACGACCCCTGCCCGGACCCTCCTCGGAGACCCAGACAAGGAGAGCGGCGAGGGGTGGGGAAGCCCTTCCGGGCCTCCTACCTTGGCAGACGGCACCACCGTTATCTTCTTGAAGTTGTAGTGCGCCATGCCGGCTGAACAACACGAGGGCACCGGCGCGGCGGGCGGGACTTCCGCCGTCGGATGAGGTGACTTCACTTCCGGTCTCCCATCCGGCCGCGTTCGTCACCCCCGCGGCGCCGCTGCACAGCGCCCCCACCCGACCCGGAGGTCCAACGCCGAGCCCGGCCTGGTGAGCCCGGGACCAGCGGAGAATTCTGCCAGTCCGGCGCGGAGAGACACCGCCGCTAGGCAGAGGCTCAGGAGGGCCGCCCAGTGGATCTCTGCACGCGGTTCCAGTCCCTCAGCACCCCGGCCTGGGCCACGGTTCTCGGGTCCGGGGTCCTGGGGTCGGAGGCTCGAGAATCTTGGGGTCTGAGTTTGGGGGTCATCAGGTCTGGGGGTCAGGACTCCGGAATCTAGGGGCTTGGGGGCCCTGAGCACAGGGTTTTTGGAGTTGTGGCCCTGGGGGGCTATACGGCCCCGGGGCTTCGGGGTCCCAGAGGCAGGGGGTCCCGGAGTCTGGGGCATCGTAGGTTTGGAGGTCCCCGCATTTGGGGCTAAGGGGGCACAGCTTTAAATGGAGAACAGCACTTGACCCAGCCGAGGCCCGGTAGACACAATCACTCTCAAGCTGCGAGGGCCGCGCTGGGGACTTGGTGGCAGTGCCACAGAGTGCCTGCGTGTGCGCTTCTCTGGGTGCTGTGCGCCCCAGAGTCCACTGTCCTCACTGGGGGGAAGGACACAGATGCCTCAACAGAGAGCGGGTGGCGATGCTCGTGTCAGATTGAGTGTGAGAGAATTTTAGAAATCTTACCAA